GGGCGCACGGTCTCCATGGCCACGCTGGGCTGGAGGGGCCGTACTGGGTGTCATCAGTTGCAGCGCTGCACAACTCCGACACCATAGCCTCAGGTGCCTCAGGTGCACACACACACACACACACACACACACACACATTAATATATGTATCAGCACAAGTAGACGCACCTAAAGCCCCTGTGAATTATTTTTCCGATTAGCTTCTTTCTGTTAGCTGTAGTTTTTTTTTTTTTGTTTTTTTTTTAACCTCAGTATTGATTGGAAAAGAAAGATTTCTGGAAACAACAGATCGTTTATTATGACACATTCTTTTTATTAACATTTTAAACCAAGCTGAAAAACAATGCCGAACTCACAAGTGCTTTTATATTACATCAATCGAGCATTTTTATATACACACATTCACTCATAGACTCTCAAGTACACAAGCAAGTACACACCCACACACTCATCTCTGTTCTTCCTGTCTTTGTCTGTTTTTCTCTCTCGCACACCCACACACTCGCTCTCAAACGCAATATCACCTTGATCACACTGTAAACAGCTCTGTGCTCGTGGTGTTTTCATTCCTATATCTCTGTGTTAAAGAACATAGAGAGGGAGAGCAAGAGGGAGATGGAGAGGGAGAGAGACAGAGGGAGAGCAGGAGAGAGAGAGACAGACAGAATGACAGAGAGAGAAAGAAGGATGGAGCAGAGAAAGAGAGATGGATGGAGAGAGACAGAAGGACAGAGGTAGAGAGATGGACGGAGAGAGACAGGGAGAGCAAGACAGAGGGAGAGACAGAAATAGATGGAGAGAGACATATGGATGGAAGAGAGAGAGAAAAGGACAGCCAGAGAAATGATAGAACAGGAAAAGGGAAAGATAGATGGATGGAGAGACACAGAAGGAAAGAGAGAGAGAAGGACAATGAGAGAGGTGATGGAGCAGGAAAAGAGAAAGAGAGATGGACAGACAGACAGTGTGACAGATGCCAGCTCTCTGAACGTTTGATTAACACACCATCGTGCTCTTGTGCTGTTCCTCAGGCTCCCATAATGGCTCTGTGCAGCTGTGGAAGTGCGGGCTGGGATTCCACGGCCTGGAGCCACTCTTCACCATCCCAGTGGTGAGAAACGACACGCAGCATTTCATATCTGAACCTTGATCCTGAGCACAGTGAGAGGAGAGGCGTTCACATTAGGCTGTGGTTATGCACTTGTAATTGGCTCGTGGGTGTTTGCTGTCAACACGCCTCCTTTTGTTAAACTGCTTTTGCATCACCACTGAGCACTGCGACGTAATCGCGTTTGGGTGTAAGGTACAGCACTCACTCGCTAGTAAAAAAAAGAATATGCTTTTTATTTTTTTTTGTCATTAAACAGATTGATTTGATTTGATGTAAAATGTGTGGTGATATTACGCGCTACTTGAGGCCATAACATCTCTCCAGATTGTGCATTCAGGAAGAGAAAGTACAGCCATTTAAAGCAGTCTGAATGCCTGCTTGGCTGAAAGTTTTAAGAAAAATGCCTCAGATGCTCTGGTAGGAACTATATTTGAAAATCTCTGGCAGCTGCAAATTTTTTCTGGTTTCTTATTTAAACCTCTAAGCAATACTTTGTACATTACTCAGCCTTTGTCTCGATAGTTGGTGTGAGATAGATGACCACAGTGACGTATTTTGACAGATTGTCAATCAAAAAAGCCACACCCCTCGTTCATGATGTCTCGGGATAAAACTCGAGTCTAACAGGAAGATTACATTTGTTTAAATTCAGATGTATTTGAAATAATACATAATGTTTCAGATCATGTATTTGTTACAGTTTTTAATCATTTCACTGGTGTTGCTTTGGATAAATCACCATAATCATGATATATCCTGGCAGTTAAATATGAGGGAATTTCCTCTCTTTTTCTTTCTTTCAGAATGGTTTTGTGAATAGTTTGAAATTCTCCAACACAGGCAAGTTCCTGGTGGCCGGCATTGGACAGGAGCACAGGTACACATCATGGACGACATTTATTTAAAACATTTATTTCAGTTCAGTGATTGAGTGAATAAACTGTGTCCAGGAAATACACTGTAGTCCTGTTGATCAGCAGAGAGCACGTAGTGTACCATCATGATGCAGGCACATGGTGGCGCTGTTGCTCTGTGCAGATAAATTCAGGTTTATTTCCTGCAGCCTGAGCACCTGCTAAACCTGAAGTACATATGATTTTGATCAAAAATTTGCAAAGGTAGTGTAATTTATTTAAAGATTGCTCTGTTCATGAATAAGTGGGAACTGGAAAGATTTTGATTTCAGAGTAGAAAAATTCATTTGAACAGACGTCCAACTCGTAATTCCCACTCGGAAAGTCTGACTTTCTCAAGCCTTTTAATCAGGCTTTCGAATTTTCACTAAATACAGAAGGGCACTTGTATGATTTACTACATAGACTGATATGATAGACTACATACTACATCTACTGGCGGAAAAAAAAGAACCTACCAGATGGCATTTTTGATATTTCTAATATTCACACCATTATTACCAAAATTAACCAACTTAAGGTGGAGGAAAAAGGAAGTATGAGTTGTGAAATGCGGAGTTCTCAGTTGTGATAAACACAGCGTCAGACCTGTGAAAGTGTGTTTACCAGCTGTGTGTTGTGTGTTCTTTAGACTGGGCAGATGGTGGAGGATAAAGGAGGCTAAAAACGGACTTTACATCATTCCTCTCAAAAGACAGAACAAAGAGACGACGACAGTAACACAATAATACACACTCTGAGGACTGGACTAGAGTTTTGTTGATTTATTTTTTTTTTTTGTCATCTTTATTATGCCATTATGTTCCGTACATTATGTTGTGCAGAAATCTAAAAATAAATTTACATTTAAGTTCCCAGTATTTGACTCATTATTACATACATTTATACCTGTTGAATTCTGGATTCTGATTGGTCAGAAGGTGTTGATTAATTTTCTGTAACAGCAGCTCTGACAGTAGTGCAGCTCCAGATTGCGGGTTTATATTAATGCTCTCGTTCTAATACGTTATCGTTTCTATAGTAACAGCTCATTCACAGGGACCTTGTTTGTGGTGGATGCTCTAAATAAACTGATTATAAAATGTGTGTGATTGTTATGATTTTTTTTTCTGCAAGGAGAAAAGGGAGTCTCCGGTGTCGGCGCTCTGTAGCAGTAAGTTTCCGCCATGGGTAAATCTTTAGGACAGAGGAGATTACACTTTCTGGTTTCTCAGCAACATTACAAGCAGGATTTTGTCTTATTAACTTTACAAGAGAGTAATGAAGACAGGCTTATGAGGGAAAGACTGTTTAAAGCTGACTTTATGCCGGAACAGTAATTCAGCTTTATTACACCACCCTGTCGATGATTATTTTCCTATAACAGCGCACTGAGCATTGTACTATTTTACCTCTCCCAGCCTACTATAACTACACTTGAGCTTCAAATACAATAATTAAAAAAATGTCAAAGTTTCTAGTATTTTTTGCATTAATGTATGAATCCATTTAACATCCCATGCTTATGAAAAAGGTACATTTTAGTTCATGTAAACTTAACCTTGCTACCTGAACACAGTCACTCCATGAATATTTATTTATTTATTTATTTATTTGAATATTCCACAAGTCACGTGTTCAGCAACAAGCTGCATCCTCCACATTTCCTGAAGATAATTACTAAGAGGAAAGGTAAGTTCTCTCATTCTTTTTTTTCCTTATTCTCAGTGATATTGTGACATTGACTGACTTTAGTACAACACTATTACTCAAATTAGTGATAGAAAGTAAAAAAACAAAAAAACAAAAAAACTTTAAGTAAATTATTACAATGTCATTAATGTCCTCGTGCCATTAGCATGGACGCTAGTCTGGTCTAAAAAAACTCAACCTTGTTACTTAATTAAGAGCAAAATGCTTCAATCCTCAGCAAAGAAATCGTTTGAAAAAGATATTTTTGGCTGAGATGTGAACGGGCATTATTTATCAACGTTTTACTAAAAGTTTCCGCCGTTTTAGTAAAAAAAAAAAAACATTCAGAAACGCTGATTTTGTTTGTCGTCACGTGCGCATGTTGATGAACTTCAATTAACAGGCGCGTCACGTCACAGCTGATTTGCATTTGGTGACGCCCACAAATCGACATAAAAGGCAAAGCTCACGGCGCTAAAATGGCGCAGTAAACGGCAAAACAGAGCTGCTGCTTCTCCATACGCCTACTTATACTATACACTAAAAAGTATGTACTCTTTTTGTCAAGAAGAAGTACATCCTTTTGAGTGTGTAGCAAAAGAGTATGAAAGTACTGGGACATACTGACACTTAATGTAACAGAAGAGAGTGTTATTGCCTAGTTATGCACACTGTCACCATAAACAAACTCCTCTTTGCACTTCAGCTTTTTTTCGTTTATTATTCCTTATATATATATTTATACTATATAATTTAATTTACCATTCCCTTGATTTATTTTTTCAACATTTCATTTACACCTCTCTAAAATGCATCCTTGAATTTGGTGAAGAAAATAGTCACAAAACTCCTCCTCCCTCGTGCAGGGAATTGTGGGTAATATTAGCTGATAAAGTGTCCATGGATCCACACTTCGAAAATCTACCGGAAGTAGTTGACCATCCGGGCACCTTTGGGATACTCATTTCAATATAATATAATTATAATAATATAAATATAATATAAATATAATCTTGGATACTATTTAGTACAGATAGTAGGCGAAGTGAGACGCAGCAAGAGACTTCCTCAGAGGTAGAAATGAGTTACTTTGGCTCATGTCTATGCCAATATACATTATTCAGCAGCGTAACAACCCCCTGAAAAGACCAAAAGTAGTAGTAGTAGTTGTTCTTTTGGCTACTCCTGTTAGGAGTCACCACAGCGGCTCATTAGTCTGCGTATTTGATTTGGCACAGGTTTCACCCTGGGTGCCCTTCCTGACGCAACCCTCCCCAACTTTATCTGGGCTTGGGACCGGTTGGTTCCCTGACCGGGAATCGAGCCTGGACCGCGGCAGTGAGAGCACTGAGGCCTAACCGCTAGTCCTCCAGGGACCCCCTGAAAAGGCCAAAGGTCTGGAGCTGAATTACACAAAAGGTGAATTAGATGTGAATTAAGTGAGGTGAAAAGAAAATGGTTTGACATGAAAAAAAGTATAGGTATATACAGTATATACACATACACACTGTACTGGATTCACTGTATGTTATGTTGTTTATCATATTTAATATTTCGTTAGTTAACTCCATTAATATAAAACGGCTGTAAATTTGTTTGTAACTGAAATACATAAGCTATTTAATCTTGACAGCTTAATCTGTGTGTGTGTATGTATGTATGTGTGTGTATATATCTAATATATATATATATAAATAAAAGTGCAGTAACTTGATTAATTGAGGTTTACATTAGTTAGTCTTGTTGGGCGTAACTTTACACACACAGGAGTAGGATACGAAAGTTTTTTCACAGTTTACGATAATGAATACTAAATTTTAATATAAGAATACTACTTTTCTTGTGAAATGCTCCTATGAATGATTTATGAATAAATCCTTTGGTATCCAAAATGAAATTACTCCCATTCTTGGGAAAATGCTTAAAAAAATCACCCAACGCTAACCAAACACATGGATTACCATGGTGTTGTGCTCTGGATTTCTTAACACTGCAATGAAACAGACAGGTTTGTCATTACAAAAGTTTATTTACATATATTACAGGAATAGCACTGACGGGTTCACCAAAGTTCACATTTAAACACATTCCTTTTTGTATTGTTATAGCTACTTTCAAATACTTTATTCAAATCTGATACACTAAAGATTTAGTCTTCAAGTTCAAAAGGAAATACTGACTATAGGGATTTGTTCTTGCATTGCCACTAAACTAGTGCATGGATAGAAAACATGGGACATTTCATTAACGACACGTAAAGAACAACGCAAATCTGCTAATGAGCTACTGAAGAAAACATGGCAGAACTCCGGCACTCGTCCTTCCAGAGCTCTGCTTCAAGTCAGGTTCACAAATGCAATCATTTTCTGAAAACAGATCTAATAACTACCACTGTTTCATGTTTCGATCATGAGCGGTGGTGTGAAAAAGTAAATACACCCCCTGAAAAGTTGTTTATTTACTGTATTATCATTGCACATACAATATCTGAACCTCAGTGCTATCAATGAAATACACTGAACTAATCTAACAGCAAACACTGAGAATAATTTTATATATATAGGTCTATATAATTTCGCAATAATTTACCTAAATTCTGTAGCTCTAAGAACATTATACATTTTTAAGAACAACTTTCCAGGGTTGTACCTACAGCAAAATGAAAGTGTGGAAAGTGTGTGTCTCGGTGTCTGTCACTGACGAAGAATATTGTTACCTGATAAGCTTCATTCAGTGACGTTCATATTTTATAAATATGTAAAGTCAAATATCTACTGTTAATGTTCCTTAAACTCCAAAGTGCGCTGTAAAGCATTCACTTCATTAACACACTTCATACAACTGTATTTTAAATACATTTTTTTTTAACACGCCCTTGTTGACTTTGACCCTCACCAATTCCCCTTTTTCCTCTTGAAGGCTGTTCAAATACTTCATTATCTTAAGTAAAACTTGTTAGATGACCCTTTTGGAGGACTGAAGTTTCATATGCATTCAGAAGTTATTGTGATCTGATATAATGTCCCTGTTTCCAAAATCTTAATATAAATTTATGACACTCAGCCAGTTACTCCATATATATGACAGATGACGTGACATAGCTAGCTAGCTAAGCGCACCAGCAGGTTATAACTCTAGATCAGGAGTATGCAAGTAAAGTTTGTGAAGGTCCAGTTACATAAACTTTCTTGCTTACAACGGTCTGCATAAGAGACTAACATGACTGACTGGCGACGATGGTTACTTTTTAATTCTTACCCATTAACGATTAGTTAACTTTAATTTTGTTTCGTAGTGGTGCTTCATGTTAACGCATTTGATCAGTGCCATAGAATGATGTAGGGAGAATAAATGCAAACTTCTTTGTCCAGTCATCTTTAAACATTATGTTTTCATCGTCAACTTTTCTTTAAACAAACCATATCTTCAGTTGACTGATCAGACCAGAGCAGGTAAATACAGCGAAAAATCTGTGAACAATGTAGCTAGTTTCTGGTCCAATGAGCTGCCTTCAGCTAAATAATTTACAAAAATGCATATGATTAGATAAACTGCAATAATTTTTTTTTTAAAGTAATTGGTTCCCTCTGCTGAAACCCTTTGCTAGGTCCACATCCAGGCCATGGTCCTCCAGCCGATGACCCCTGTTCTAGATAGATATCTAACATAACTGTAATATATATTTACAGAGCTTAATTAAAATACTTTTTTAAAATTTAAATACTAAAAATATCCAAGAAATTCGCCCAACTGCCTTTTTGTGGCCACTGACTGGTGAGGGCATGTCGACAAAGTCACGTTAAAGACGCTTCCGAACTGGAGTTTTATAGTTTTACACTTTATTTCCATACTACAGCAAGTCCTAACTCCAAACATTCAAACGTTAGTTGCCACCGAAGCTGTAACTTAAAAACTTAGCATCATGTGGCAACAAACCTCCTTACTCGTTCATACTGGCACATTGTTTCCACATAGTCACATTTACAGGATTTTTTTCAATTATTGAACTCTTGGATAGTCAAGTATTTGTTTAATAGAATTTCAGCTTAAGTGCCTGAAATGGATGACAGAAGCACCCTTGGTGGAAGAGGCATTGATAAAAGATTTATCCATGACATCACTGGAGATGGTGTAGTTGTGTATAGTTGTGTGTAGTTGTGTGCAGTCGTGTGCAGTTGTGCAGTTCCTCCTTCACAATGACGACGTCGTAGAGTCCACTACCTCTCGTCCGTTGCACACGGTGGGAACTACGGTCGCGGCTGAGGCTGTGGATGAAATATCAAATGTTTCATGGTCAGTTCTAGCGAGAGACATTTCAACTGTTAACCTTTCACGCACAGAAACATGATGCAATCTCAGCGTAACCATGCTGATCACTCAAGCACGTAAAGGTTTTTGACACTGATTCACACTCGAACATGATCCGCTGAAAGGAATTTGAGCTAATATAGAGAGAAAATTCAGTAGGTATACTGTTACTAGTGTTAATCTAAAGCATACAGTCTACAGGGTGTCCCGAAAGTCTCCGTACACAGGGGAAATTAACACTTTCTAGCAAAATGTCTTCCAAAATTTTTCATACTTAGTTTATATTATATATATATTTTTTTTTTTCAGGTAGCCTTTAAGAATGCCTTTGACAAAAGAAGAACATATTGATATCATTCTCATGGCTGAATCGGGAAGCTGTCACAAGGTTGCGATGGACTTTAACAGGAAACATGGCAAGCACATCACACACAACACTGTCACCAAACTTATTAACTAATTCAAAAAGACTGGAAATGTTGCGGACCAACTGAGAAGACGTCCACAAACATCCACTGACGAAGGCACAACCGACGTGGAGCTGGCAAACATAGTCCCCTGTGTATGGAGACTTTTGGGACACCCTGTATGAAGTTGTACGATGTAGCCTATTTTTTCTAACCTTAAAGGAATACGCCAACAATTTTAAACCTCATCTATAATGAGATATTATTTGTAGTGTCTATGTTTTTAACCACAGACAAGAACTTTGACATTGTGCTGTGAAAATAATAGAATAATTACTTATATGTAACTTGATTAGAATGGACGTCTGTAAATGTTTAAAATATCCAAGAAATAAAATACTTGGGAGAGTATTGTAATAAAAAAAATTAACAAAGGTTAGTAAAGGTTAGATAGTAGGTTAAAATACGCCAGAGTATTCCTTTAACCCTGATAAGGGCGAAGCAGGTATTTGACTACCGTGTGAGTAGGTGGAGCTGGGGGCTGTAGCGGCCGCGGAGAACCGGTTGTCCTTGGCCCTCAGCGTTGTCACGTTCTTCTGTGGCTGGAACAGTATGATGTGGATCTTGGGGGCAAAGAGGCAGCCGAGGACCACCGAGCCGCTCAGACTCACTGAGATGCACATGGTGGTGGTCTGAACCTGTGGAGTACACACACAGATGTGGGTTGTAAGACATTTATAAGCAGTGAAGATAGAGATGACAGTCTTACAGTCCCATGTTATAATTCAAAAAAGATTTACTGAATTATTTATTTACGTTTCACCTTTTTGAGTGGCGTGCATCATTTGCATTAAGCTCCCTGATCACTCCTTAAATGCTCACTTCTTTTCCCCCTTTGCCTAAAACTCGTTATTCTAAATTCTATTATTAGCATATTAAAAAGCAGATTAAATATTAAAAAGCCAATTAACGATACAAAATGCAAAAAATTGTTCATTTGAATGTCATTTTTATTCATCAGTGCCTCATTATAGAATAAACAATGTCATTTTTTTTTTAATGACAGCCTTACTATTCGTCTCTAGATGTTGTTATGATGATGCTTCTCGTTTTTAAAATCACCCTTTTAATACACCTCTAACTGCCTTAAGGCCTGTCTAAATACTTTATTAGCTTTATAAGTGAAGTTTGTTAAATGACTCCTTGCCGTGACAAAGGATTGCGTCAACATGCCTCTAGACACCAGGAGCAGAATTTTCCTATTTGATCTCACCACCAGTTCCTTATTATTTTCTTTCAATGATGCCATCAATGATAAGTGTCTTGTTTAAGGGAACAGACTTCCATTTGTTCACCCAGACTCTCAAATTAGCATATGCTGCAGAGCTCCTGATCTCAGAGAATCTGCCTTCTTAGCTCTGCAGATTGTGCCTCAAATTGATTATCTTAAATTTTAGCAAGCAGGTCCTCTCTTAAAATGCTGAAATCTTGGAGGATGGATGCCTTCGTGCTCCCTGACAGATTAGCATCTCATTCAGAGTCAGTTTTACATTTCCTCTGCTGTGCTTTCAGAACGTTATAACATGTTCTCCATGTCACATTATACAGTGAAGATCCTGTAACAATAGACCTGCAGTATGACTACAGAAAATTACTATGTT